CACACACACACACTGCTGTTTTAAGCACGTACAGTAAAATTTCTCATCCATACACCTACTGCAATATCCTTAGGTAATTTGGTGAAGCTGTCTTGATGCAGTCAGAAATCGTTTAATTTCCAGATAACAGGTTGAGTTTAAGATGACAGTTTTACTGGCATCCCCGGTGTGTGTGTGTGTGCATTGACTGAGCATTCAGGAAAAGCAGGCAGAGTGGGTAAACTGGGGGAGATGGACAGTGCAATCCTAAACAGGGTAAAAACCTATTTGAATGGAAGTCAATGGGCTTAGAAGCCTGTGACTCAGTTTAGGATGGCTTTAGTGTAGTGGTTAGGAGTGCGGATTCTAATCTGGGAGAACTAAGTTTGATTCCTCACTCCTCCACATGCAGCTGCTGGTGTGACCTTGGGTCAGTCACAAGTTCTCTTAGAGTTGTTCTCTCGGTAGCCGTTCTCTCAGAGCTCTCTCAGCCCCACCTACCTCACCGGCAATGCGCCCTCTAAGCTGTGGAGTCTTCTGAGCGAAAATTCTACTTTGTGAACTACTGGCATTAAAGTTGTGAGCGAGCGATCTGGCCGCTGCGTAAATCAGTTTGCTCTGGAGCCATCCTTCCTGAGCGAAGACAAAAATGTGTGAGCCGGAGGCTAGAAAACTGAGCTGGCTCACACTAACTCAGCTTAGAGGGAACACTGCTCACAGGGTGTCTGTTGTGGGGAGGGGAAGGGAAAGGAGATTGAAAGCCATTCTGAGACTCCTTTGGGTAGTAAAGGGCAGGGTATAAATCCAATCTCTTCCTCTTCTTCTGTAAATGACATGCTAAAGATCATACTCTATGTCAGTGACACGGACTGTCGAGCATTAGGGTTTTTTCCCTGTGGGTTGTTTGCCCCTGGGTCTGATGCTGTTGGGAAGCAGGTTTTTTTCCCATTTCCCCACAGTGTTGTGGAACATTCGAGCACTTCCCAGGTTTTCCATCAATCTTTCCCAGACCCTCTTTGCTGCAAAATGTTGGGAAAGATCGCAGCTATTTTCCCTGCCCCATTCCCGTGGCAACCATTTCCCCCCTTCCCCTGCTACTGGGGGTGTCTTTTTTGTCGACCCTCTTTGCTGCAAAATGTTGGGAAAGAGCCTGGATGGCTGCTGTAGGGATGGGGCAGCTATTTTCCCTGCCGCATTCCCGTGGCAACCATTTCCCCCCTCCCCTGCTACTGGGGGTGTCTTTTTTGTTTTTTAAACTCCATTAATTGAATATTGTTACAAGAACCTGTAAAATAGAGTTTTCATTTTTAAAAGGTAAGTCTCGTGTCATGGCAGAGGTATGATTTTCCCCCTTATACCTTCACAGTGAAAGGAGCTAGAGGACCTACCTTTTAAAATGAAAGCTAGGGATTCAGAGAACCTGATACATAGATTGTTGCAGAGTTGCAATCATGTTCAGTTGTTGGTTTTTTAAAAAAGAGAAATCCCTGTTGGTGTGTTGGGGGGTGGGGTGGAGGCGGAGGCTCCTGCAGGGAACGGGGGCCACCACCACCCGTTCCCTGCAGGAGCCTCCGCCTCCACCCCACCCCCCAACACACCAACACTGCCACTGTGTGGACGCCCCGTTGTTGCCACCTGCTGCATCAGGAGTCCCAGCAGCAAAGGAGAAACCACACAAGCCTCACCCCGTGTGGGAAATACCAAGCAGTCTCCCTTGCTGCCTCCCCTTCCACAAACATTGGTCCCCAGAACTTTTGAGCTAGTACCAAGGGGGATGGAGTTGCTGCCTGTTTCTCCATCCTGCAAGAGAATCCACCCCATCAACATCTTCCCTGCTGCACAGCTTCCAACTAGCCATCCAGGGGCCATTTCCTCTGCAATAACAACATGACCACTGGGTTTTATTTGGGTTCCACGATCCAGTACTCTGCTCGGAAATGGATATCAGCAAAGTCTTTGTTAAATTCAATCTCTGCCCGGTTCCCGGTCGATTGCCAGTAAAACAGCTGGTTTCTGGAGAAGACGGAGGTCTTCATGTTGTTCACATCTCGAATCTGAACAAAGGAAGGTGTCAGTCACCCAATCACACACTTCTTGGACCGTCTTTTTTCATCTGTTTGTTATTGGCAGTGCCTGTCTCCACCCAAACTTAAACCCATTTAGCAGTCACTCCTCCCCACCACCACCAGGAATCCACACAGGACCCTTCAAGCATTTTTCAGTTGTTCTGCTGGCTATGTGTGGAAAACAGAAAGGGCAAATCTCAAAATGCAGCGGAACTCTAAATCAATGGGTGACTATGCAGGAAGGTGGGTCAGCAGTCACATTTCAAGCATTTTGTGCCCTGCGAAGCACTAGCTTTGCTCTGGGAGCCAGACTTAGGGGTAACGGGGAGGGATGAAGCAGGGCAGACCATCCCTTTACCTTACTGGGAATGTCTTGGGTAGGCTGCTGCACTGGAGAGCCACCGGTGGCTGCAGCAAGCACAGCCAAGCGGCTCCGGGGGTGCCAGAGATGCAAAGCGGCCATTCACGCAGCTGAGACGACATCTGTTGCCATCGTCAGGGTGGCCGGGGTCTGGTGCGAGTGGCCCCTGGGGCATTAGCAGCCCCCAAAGCTCACTGGGCTCAGTTTCCTCCAGGGCTGCTTTAGTATCCACCCTGTCAGCCAGTGTGGTGTAGTGACTAGAGTTCTGGGCTAGGGTCAGGGAGGCCAGGGCTTGAATGCCCGCGTGTTGTGCCCTGGGAGCTCGGGGGCAGGGGGACCCCGGGTGAGTCACACACTCTCGGCTGAACCCGACTCTCAGGGCCCTTGTGAGGCTCCAACAGAAAGGACTGAGGTCAGCCATGTTCGGTCCCCACCGGGAAGAAAGTTGGGGTACAAGTACACTAAATAAACCCACCCCAGTCCACCCTTGGGGTCAGTACTTCTGGCGGGAGTTGGGAAAGACCTCTGCCTGAGACCCTGGAGAGCTGTAAAGAGGGGCCGTGGCTCAGTGGTAGAGCCTCTGCTTGGCATGCAGAAGGTCCCAGGTTCAATCCCCAGCATCTCCAGTTGAAAGGACCAGGCAGGAGGTGATGGGAAAGACCTCTGCCTGAGACCCTGGAGAGCTGTAAAGAGGGGCCGTGGCTCAGTGGTAGAGCCTCTGCTTGGCATGCAGAAGGTCCCAGGTTCAATCCCCAGCATCTCCAGTTGAAAGGACCAGGCAGGAGGTGATGGGAAAGACCTCTGCCTGAGACCCTGGAGAGCTGTAAAGAGGGGCCGTGGCTCAGTGGTAGAGCCTCTGCTTGGCATGCAGAAGGTCCCAGGTTCAATCCCCAGCATCTCCAGTTAAAAGGACCAGGCAGGAGGTGATGGGAAAGACCTCCGCCTCAGACCCTGGAGAGCTGTAAAGAGGGGCCGTGGCTCAGTGGAAGAGCCTCTGCTTGGCATGCAGAAGGTCCCAGGTTCAATCCCTGGTATCTCCAGTAAAACAATCTGGCAGTAGGTGATGAGAAAGACGTCTGCCTCGGACCTTGGAGAGCCGCTGCCAGTCTGAGTAGACAAGACTGGCCTTGATGGACCCAGGGAGGCCTGATTGAGCAGAAGGCAGCTTTGTGTGTTCAAACCACCACCCCTAGTCATCTCCCGCCTTGAAAAGCCTACAGGATTGCCATAAGTTGGCTGCCACTTGATGGCACTTGCCACCATCACCATCTTTCAGTGAGCTGGAGAAATGGAGGTCACTGGCAGCAATTGGGGAGGCACAAGGCCATGGAGCAGTTTCATAATCAGGGCGAGGAGTTCGTGCTGGCTGCAGAAGGGAATACTAGCCAGAGTGAAGCTGGGTCGGCCCGGTTAGTATTTGGGTGGGAGACCACCAAGGAAGTCCAAGGCTGTGATGCAGAGGCAGACAGTGGTAAACCACCTCTGAATGGCTCTTGCCTTGGAAACCCCATAAGGGGTCTCCACAACTTCACAGCACTTTCCCCTGCTGGGATCTTACAGGGCTGCCGAAAAAAGATCACTGAGAAAATGTGTGGGAAGCACTTCTGAGCCCTTGAATTGCCCCATGGAAACTCCCTCCGACGACTGCCACAGGGTAGGAATACGCGCAGTGCTCTCACCAAGATGTAACGGGAGTGTGCTTCGTTGGCCTGGACGCTCAGATCCACATGCACGGTGTGGATGGCTATGCGGTGTCGAGGAGCCACATCAATGAAGGTCCTGCATGCCGCTTCTGTGCCCACGCCGGCCAATGGTGCAGGGCTCGTTATTTCTCCTCGGGGACCAAAGAGCTGCACGTCACAGTCTGGGGTGGCAAAAAAAGAGTGAGGGATTTGTGAGGGGGGCCCCTGGCCTGCACCAAGCTGCTGCGGTTGGAAACGGCTGCTAAGAAGATGGGCACGGCTTTGCCCTTCTTTTAGGGCACAGTGAGGCCGTGGCTGAGGCCCTGGCACAAATATGTGCCCTTAGGATTCCTGCAGGATCCGGGCAGCCAGCGCTTCTCAGCCTTGAATGACAGAGGGGAGATTTCCTTGCAGTGGTGGGGAAAACATCCCCCGAGTGTTGCCAACTATGGGTTGGGAAATTCCTGGAGATCTGGCAGCGGAGCCTGGGGAGGGGCCTCAGCTGGGTATAATGCCAGGGAGCCCCATCTGGAGGCGGGCCACCCTGCTTCCTTTCTGTGTTTCAGGGAAAGGTGCAGGAGCCAACAAACACTGTGGCAGCCTCAGCATGAGCACTGGTGTGCGGGGGGAAGTGGCCCGACTTCTTCTGAGACCAGTAGTTTCTCCCGGGACAAAACGTGACACAATACAGATTGCGGCGCTCCATGCATGAGTAAAAGGCAAATGGCACAGGCTTCTGATCACAGCCACAGGAGGGGAGGGGATTCAACCCTTCCACACTCCTCAGTTTTGCAAAACCAGTCTCCCAGCACGGTTATTAGCTCCTTAAGAGGCAAAGGCCTTTTAAAACCATCATAACAGCGTGCAAAGTCCAGACCAGTGAGTCAAACCAAGCAGGAGCTGAAGGGTTAAATCCCCTCCTCCCCAAGCGGCCTGACCTGAGTCAGGGCTGCACGCACACACGCACGCACAGTGGGCCTTCTCCGGATGGACAAACGTCTATGATCTGTTGGCCCCCACGGCTTTTCACTTGCTCTCCGGATGGACAAACGTCTATGATCTGTGTCACGTCTGTTGGCCCCCACGGCTTTTCACTTGTCATGCTCAAAATAACAGATGCATGGGCCATTCCTGGTGCATGGAGGCGCCAGCAGCTTAGGCTCCATTGAGGCCCAGGGAGATCCTGCTAAATCTGCCACCATTGGGCTTTCTCCTCTAACCCCAAAGCTCCACTTTAACTTCAAAAGTAGCAGTGTCGGTGTAATGTATTCAGCCTGACATGCCCGGACTTGCCCGGGCTGGCCAGGCACAATTCCTATGTTAGCTTCAGTCGAAAGACAAAGGATCCGGAGGATCCTAGCCGGCCCAATCAAAAGGGCTAGCTTCCCAGCCGGGAGACCAATGGTCGCCCGGTTACTGTAAATAGCCTATCGGGAGCAGGGGGTGTGTTTAGGTGTGCTTGGTGGTGGGTTTTCTGAATGCATATAAACCGGCCTGCGAGCCGGTCAGTTGTCTTTGTCCTGAACTAAATAAAGGTATGCTTAGCTGAAATCACTCTCCGTCTGCATACTTTTCAGTCGGTTTCATGGCAGCCCACCTTGGTGGTATTTCTTCCTTGCTGCTGCGCTGCTGTACTGAAGGACAACTCCGTTGCCAGGCAGCAGGAGGCGCTGTCTCACCATCAGGGTGTTGGTCCGGGCGTTTATGACGGAGAGCGTCAACCTCTTGCAGCCTGTCCGCCACATCTTTCGGCTGGAAAACACCACCATCTCTCCTGGAGCCAAAAGAGACAGAGGGGCACAGGTCAGCCGTCTCCTCCCCGGAGCCCGGCAGCATCAGCACCATGAATGAAGTCAAGCAGCACAGCTCTTGTGAGAAGCAGCAGCTGTTAGGGTTGCCAACCTCCAGGTGGTGGCTGGAGATCTCCTGGAATTACAACTGATCTCCAGGTGACAAGGATTGGTCCTCCGGGTGGGCTCTATGGCATTGTACCTCTCAAATCTCCAGCAATCTTTCAACCTGGGAATTGGCAACCATACCAGACCTGCTTGCTACATCGTGAAAAGAGCCAGCTTTTGACTGCCCCAGAACTCTTCATGAGGTTGGATTTTCAGTGCCAAGAAAAAAAGGGGGGGCACTAAATGTTCAGGACCTGGTGGGGAATTCTCCCCTTCCCCTCCATTTGGGGTAGTGATAATGTACTGAACATCTTGCTGGAAGTGAAGGTGCTGTCCCGAGTTTCAGCCTCCAGACCACATGGCAAGAGAGTAGCTCGCTCGATAGGCACACTGACTTTCCCTTCCTGTGTCTACTCTTCTGCCACTGTCCCCTTTGAAATGTAGATGGTGTTCTCAGGGACGACAACTATTTGTCCTCTCTTGGCACCACGAGGCAGATGGCCCTCTCACCATCTGCTTCCATCCTTAGCTAGTAAGTTAGTACTCTATCCTCTCCCTACTCTTTCCTATCCAAAAGTGTACTTCTCAAAGAGAGAAGTATTCCTCTTGTTAAACTTGCAACATGGCTCTGTGAAGCTTCGTAAGCTGAGCAACCTGGTCAAGCGATGCTGCTGTGTCTGTAGCTTTATTTAAGCACTCTGCTAACTAGTGGAAACTGGACTAACTACACCAGTTAACCCCAACAGACATCTTACCAGGTGAAACATCAAGGGCGCTGTTATGTCCGCTGGCCACTACTAGGCAACAGTGGTTTGCAACCAGAGCTTGGCTCCCTAGTAACAATAGGGACTAGGATCCTGAGCCTCCCAGTTAGCACCTATAGGAACTGTGGCGGGAAGTTCAAACCCTCCAATGGGACCTATGGGTGTGTATCAGGGACTGTATATAGTTGGCCGTGTCGGCCGGTTGTAGTTGTTGTGTTGTGTATCAGTAAACGATGAGCTGATAATCACTGAGCGTCTGTCTTCACTACGCGTCGAACCCAGTACACAACAGGCGCTCAAAACATTGCTGTACTGTGACTAGTTGGTTGGTCCTAATAACAAGTCTAACGCGATTATCCTTTCTGGAGTTTTGCTAGGGACTTGACATGGCTGCCTCCAATCTTTGTCAACTTTGGAAAGTTCCAAGAATCCCTGGAGAACTTGCAGTTTTAGAAATACAAAGAAAACCTTTGCTTAGTCCTGCACTCCCTCACCCCTTAAACTACCATTCCCATCCCATTGTGTGTCTGTGCCTCACATACCTGGCAGGGACCACTCCGTGCACACTGAAGAGGTGAGGTGGCAGATAGGATGGGGGAGAGGCGGTGGATTCAGTCCCTGTGCTCCTGCTGGTGTGCGTGAGGGATCAGCCCCTGTGGGTGCCTCTCTCTCTAAGCGGCAGATGTCCAGGGGTGTACTGTGCAGCTACTTACAAATGGGATCTGGCATCAAACTGGATTCCGGGGCATACTGTCGATGGGGGGTGGTGCTCAGACTGGGCAAACCGACTCGGCTTCCCTCAGGGCCCCCCCCCCCGGGAGTTTCGAGCTGACGCGGCAACTGGGGACAGACTTAGACACCCACCTGTGCTGCAGTTGAGGGAGCTCTCCAGCACTTGGACTGTGACCACCTCTCCTAAGGGGCGGCCAATGGCAATGGTGCAGTCACTGGCTTGCAGGCCGGTCATGTTGATCAGCCCAGTGGAACGGAGGAACAGCCTCCCACAGATGCCTGCGTGGAAGCAGAGAGGCCAACGGGCGAGAGACACAGGCTGAGGCAAAGCACATGGAAAGTAGGCCCAACCAGCCCCCAACAGAGCTCCAGCAAGGGAGTGGTGGCGCAGGGGATTTTTCCCTGCCTAACTACAACATCTGAACTGCCATGCTTTGGTAGTTCTAGCCCCGTGCCGGTGTGAGCAACCAAGCCTTGTCCTAGCTCATCGTCTACCCAGCGATTCGAAAGCTTCGGCGAGTAGATAAATTGGGGACCACTCGTAAGGGGGTGGGCACCAAAGTTCCCTCTAAGCTGTGGAGTCTTGTGTGCAAAACTTCTACGTTGTGAGCTACTGGCATTAAAGTTGTGAGCAAGCGATTTGGCTGCTGCATAAATTACTTTGCTCCGGAGCCATCCTTCCTGAGCTAAGACAAAAATGTGTGAGCTGGAGGCTAAAAAACTGTGAGCTAGCTCACACTAACTCAGCTTAGAGGGAACACTGGTGGGCACACCCCTCCCTTCGGGAAGGTGTTAGCTGCCGAGGCAACTTCTGAGGCACGGCGACCAGAAAGACGAAAGAGCTGTGTCGGCTTCCCTGCAATGGAGCAAGTCGGCCAGGCAGTGGCAGTGTGTGGCTGCACAACATCAAGAAGCCAGACGTCATCAGCCAGCTGACAAGATGCCATAGGAACACGACTGACCCAGCCCGCAGATGAAGCCCGGCTAGCTGCAATGTGTGTGTAATTAATGCTGCATGTTTGTCTTCCCTATCCCCACAAATATTGTTAGTCCAACTGTCTCAAGAGTAACTGTAAATCGCTCTGAGCCCGCAGGTATGTGGGAAAGAGCGATCAATAAATCGAAAGTATTAT